TCACTGTGACCAAGTAGTCTCTTCAAATACGATGTAATAAGCTGGCACTGTTTTGATGTTTGGGCCAGGGTGAAACAAAAAGGCTCTTCAGGAGCCTTCCATATTTTGTAATCCATCATACCTGCACTGAACTTGCGGAAGGCTTTGAAAGGTTAGCTTTGGAAAAATGGCCATGGCCAAAAAACTGGTTCAGAGATTCCCCAAGACAACATTAGCATGTTCCTTGTCTACAATTGTAACTATCAAAGTGATAAAAGGGATAATTCTATTTAGTTTGGTGATTCATGTTTCCTTTTCCACCTCATGATACACAGGTGTGTTTATGAGGTTTATGTGGGTCACATAGGAGAAGGAAACCTTTTCTCTCTCGAGGGCGATTTCAGCTTTCTAAAAATCATCTGACGGCCAGTGGCCACAATGACAATGCAAAGCCTAATAACACAACAATTATAGATTCATAAAAGATTTTTGTCAACAAGAAATAGATCTTTTTTCTAAGATAACCCCATTAAGGTGTTTTGAAAACAATCAGAAAAGCATTACATTTGCTACATTAAGCAAACTAGATATTAATTTTCTCACCACAGCATTAGCTTTTATGATATTGTCTCTGTCGCCCAGTGGTCTTACACATATTTAGGAAAATAAGTATTTACACACCCTGCTACTGCTTTTGCAAGTTCTCCCACTTAGAAATCATGGAGGGGTTTGAAATTGTCATCGTAGCAGCATTTCCACTGTGAGAGACATATTCTAAAATAAAAAAAATCCAGAAATCACAATATATCATTTTTGAACTATTTATTTGTATGATACAAGTGCAAATAAGTATTCGAACACCTGTCTATCAGCTAGAATTCTGACCCTCAAAGACCTGTTAGTCTGCCTTCAAAATGTCCACCTCCACTCCATTTATTATCCTAAATTAGATGCACCTGTTTGAGGTCGTTAGCTGCTTAAAGACACCTGTCCACCCCATACAATCATTAAGTATCCAACTTCTATCATGGTCTAGACCAAAGACTTGTCCAAAGACACTAGAGACCAATTTTTACACCTCCACAAGGCTGGAAAGGGCTACGGGGAAATTTCCAAGCAGCTTGGTGAAAAAAGGTCCACTGTTGGAGCAATCATTTGAAAATGGAAAGCTTAACATAACTGTAAATCTCCCTCGGAAAGGTAAGAATTCAGCCCAGAACTACACAGGAGGAGTTGGTCAATGACTTGAAAAGAGCTTATATTAAAATCTATATTTTCCCAAGGTTATTGTTGGTAATACACTAAGACTTCATGGTTTGGATGGCAAAGAAGTTTCCCCTGCTTAAACCAGTAAGGTCCGTCTTAAGTTTGCCAATGACAATTTGGATGACCCAGAGGAGTCATGGGAGAAAGTCACGTGGTCAGATGAGACAAAAATAGAACTTTTTGGTCATAATTCCACTAACCAGGTTTGGAGGAAGAAAAATGATGAGTACCATTCCAAGAACACCATCCCTACTGTTAAGCATGGGGGTGGTAGCATCAAGTTTTGGGGGTTGTTCTCTGCACATGGAACATGACGACTGCACTGTATTAAGGTGAGGATGACTGGGGCCGTGTATTGCTGGATTTTGCAGAAAAAGCTCCTTCCCTTAGTCAGAGCGTTGAAAATGGGTCGAGGCTGGGTCTTCCAACATGACAAATACCCCGAAGCACACAGGATAACCAAGGAGTGGCTCTGGAAGAAGCATATCAAGGTTCTGGTGTGGTCTAGCCAGTCTCCAGACCTAAACCCAATAGAAAATCTCTGTGTTTCTCAGTGACAGCCCACAAACCTGACTGATCTAGAGAAGATCTGTGTGGAGGAGTCAGCAAAAATCCCTCTGGTAGTGTGTGCAAACCTGGTGAAAAACTACAGGAAATGTTTGACCTCTGTAATTGCAATCAAAGGCTACTATACCAAATATTAACATTGATTTTCTCAGGTGTTCAAATACTTATACAAATAAATAGTTTTTAAAAATCATACACAGTGATTTTTTTTTAAGTAAGATTATTGTTGGGTTTTTAATCCAGAGAAATGTGAGTTTAAAAGATTAAAAGGAAAATGATCAACACAGAGAC